GTAGGGAATCTCCATAGCATGGATTTATTATTCCCACCATGTCCTGTTGGAAAGTGAGTTTGAGATGAGCCATTGAAAGAGCCAGGTTAAACAAAATGCATCTAGGATTAATACGGATTCATAATCCTACTGAAGGATGCTCTGAAATGGGGAATAATATCCCAGTGATTTCACTTTGATCCTTTTCACTGAGATGAATGTGTTATGAACATGAGGTGCAAGGGTAACACAGAAGAGCTTTAAAGAAATCCTCTCAGTATCAGGATTAATGTGACCAGGTCTCAGGCTGGCTTCTTTCAAAAAGCTGTTTCTTCAGTTCTTTTTACTTCATGTCGGAGTAGCTTTTGAGGGTGTTTATGGTGGTTTTACTTTACATAGCAGTAATTTTGGCCCAGGTTTGTCACAGTAATTTGTTAATTTTTTCTGCTCTTGTTCTGACAAAGAAGTTTGGTCATGAGCTTGACCTGCATGCCAATGTGTAGGTAGCCTGTTAGGAAGTGAGGACCCACTCACACCCCTCCACTGCCAGAGTACTGCCCTGCCACTGTCTCTGCTGCCCTGATGCTGAGGGACAGGGAGCTTGGCCCCTCTGCAGAGCCGTTGGGCACAGACCTGTGTCCTACCTCTGACCAGCACACACTGTTTCTCTTACAGACCTGTTTCGCCCACTGCTTTCTCTGTTTGGTTGGGTTTTTCCTCCTGCCACCTTTTTCCTGTCTATTTTTTTCCCCTTTTTTGCTTATACAAACACACCAAGTGTTGTTAATTTTTCATGTTGCCCTTTCTGTTTTCTCTCCCTCCAGATTTTTCTGTATTTCCATCTTATATTAATTCTAATCCCCTTTTCTGGAAGTCAGGCTGGGGCAGGGCAGGTAGTTTTCAGTATCACTGCTTTGAAACAAACCTGCTGGGATTTGTAATGGACAATCAGGTGGTAGCAGAGTGATGCAGGACCATATCACTGACATCCCTGAAATTCAAGAAAGTAAAAGCAATATTTAAGAGGTCGGTGGAAAACAAGACTTTGCTAAAGAAGATAGACAATATCGAGATGTCTTGGGGGTTTTGTTCTTTAGAGAAGGCTAAAAGGATGATCTTTATCTTCTTCTTAACAGCTAGTTCAGAAACCAATCTCTTCTGTTGATTTCTTCCACCAAACCAAACAAAACACACAAGACTGCTGAAAGAGGAAGAGAAGCTGGGTTTTTGAAGTGCATCCAAACCACCACGAATCATTCACTTTCCTTTCAAATGCAGCATTAGCAATAGAGCTCTAAATCAATGAAAGTTCTAAAATTAAATTATATTCCTGAGATCAGATGTGAATCACAAGTTAATAATATTTTCTTTTATTATCGCTGTCTTTACCCTTTTATTTTATCCTGACAAATTAGGTTTCTGATTTGAAAACAGAGCAAACTGTGAAGGCATGAAACCCTGCTGGGTTAGACCACACCAGATCACCTGTGGATGAGGTCCCAAAAATCTTTTGTTTTGGAGGTTCATGTTGCATCCAAAACTGAACTAATCTATCACTTAGTGATCTCTCTCTCTCTCAGCCCTCTGATGTTTCAAGTAGGTATTTTCTTAAATCAATGAGAAAATATTACTTGCTAAATAATGTTTAAAACCCACTCTGGAAGTAGCAGGGTAGGACAGCAAACATTCATCTCTTGACATGACATGGATCTCAGGGAGCTGTATTCTCCCTTGCTGTATTTTTTAGTTGGAGCTGTGGTGAAATGCAGCCCTGTCTGAAAGCAGAGGTGACCTGCAAGATTAGTCTGTGAGTGAGGCATGAGAGCACATAGATGATGTGTATCTGTTCATGTGAGATGGAAGCTGCAGGGACCATGTTTTCTTGCAGGCAGCCCCAACTTTAGTCCCAGATTTGTGTGCATGAAACTGCAGGAACGTAGAGTTGAGAGATGCTGTTGGCATTGTGCCTGTGTGTGTGTTTCTTGGAAAGGTGTACCTTTGTGGATGTGTTTCTCGCTGGTTGTAGTTGAAGAATAAAGCTGACCTGAATCTGTGGATGCAACAAACACTATGGACAATGCAGGTATAATGAATAAATGGTTTGCTTATAGGATTAAGATTTATGTGAACAAAGCCAATGGTGTTGCAGGAGGGGAACATGCAGAGCTCCTTGCAGAGAGAGTCCATGCAGAGTGGAACAGTCCTCGAAGATGTCACTGTTTGACATACCTGGAACTATTCTCCCTGCAGCTGGTCATGTAGCAGCATCTGTGCACTTGAAGGGAAGACTGGGTGTGGCATCAGAGTGGTGACCACACGCCAGTGACACAGCCCCCCTGTGCTTGAGGGTTCGTGTCACCGCAGAGCAGCAGACCCGTGGCAAAGCATATGAGGGTGGGCAGCACATGATGGCTCCAGTCTTGTGTTTATGAGCAGAGAGAGACAGGTGTATGTAAAAAGGCTCCTCCACCTTTCCTCTGTGCAGCCACAGCACTTGCCAAGGCATAATTAGTGGGGCTCTCGTGTTTCAGGGCAGACTATTGAGCAGCTGCTCAAGTGCCAGCTCAGTTGGTAGCCTCGAAAACAAACTATCCCTTGTTTCTCATCACCAGTGTGAAACTGCCTTCCCAAACCTTGGGTTTGGCCCTGCAGCTTTCATGGTAGACAAAATGTGAGGTTTTTGCCAGTGATGTATTCTTCTAGGTCTGTTTAATATCCATTATCAATTTAATGTGCCACTTTAATGAGATTTTGCTTTTTCAATCTCCTCTGTAGAGCTGATTACTTAGTGTGTGTGGTTGGTGTTTGTTTTTGTTTTTTTTAAAGGAACCTACAAGTGAAGAAGTTGACTGTTTGCTTCAGCTGAAGAGAGTATTTTCCAAGTCCTTGGGGGAGAAAAGGTGAAGAAGAGAAATGGAGGATGTTGCTAGTAGGTATATACATGACAGGAAGCCATGACTAGCAGTGTGACTGTCAACAGGAAACAAAAAGTCACAGCTGCTGTGAAGCTGCCATACAGTACGCCTTCTGTGTCATGTTGCCTGCTGCACTTTGTGGGCTGTGGAGCAGTCTGTGTCTGAACGAGATACTCTTGCTGAACTTTGTGGCCTGTGGAGCAGTCTGTGTCTGAACGAGATACTCTTCTGTCCAGTCATCTGCTGGAGTTTGAATTATTCTGCATCTGGTTAATCTACTTTGCTGGATTTGGCTAGTCCTGGTTGTTTCTCTTCTTGACACCTGCTACTGTAAAGACCTTGAGCAGCTTTGGGGAGAAAAGTGGGCATGTGAACAACCTTCACTGGCTGGCAGCTGAGGGCTCCTCAGACCCCAGACAGCTTTGAGGTGTCTTGGCTGTTCAGTGCTCTGCAGATATGAACGCTGAGCTTTTCTGGCACGTTCTCACATTGGCCTGGTCACTCTCACCATGCTAGTACATGGGAAAGAAGACTTCCTCTCAGACATAACTTACATCGTCCTGGAACTGGTCATTGCGGTGCTGGCCATCCTGGGGAACATCCTGGTCTGCTGGGCAGTCTATTTGAATAGCAACTTGCAGAACGTCACCAACTATTTTGTGGTGTCCCTGGCTGCTGCTGACATTGCCGTGGGAGTGCTGGCAATCCCCTTTGCCATCACCATCAGCACTGGCTTCTGTGCCTTCTTCTATGGCTGCCTTTTCATTGCCTGCTTTGTGCTGGTCTTGACTCAGAGTTCTATCTTCAGCCTCCTTGCCATTGCCATTGACAGGATCATTGCCATCCGCATACCCCTCAGGTGAGCACGGGCTGGGCTGGGGGGGTGGAGCTGGGCTGGTGGGGGATGGTCTGAAGATAAATCAAGGAAGGGAAAGTTAAATAAGCAGCAGCAATTTTTCCCCTGGCAATTTGGAAAAACCTTTTGTAGGTCTTGAAGGCTGTCTTCCGTGCTGGGTTTTCTGGTCACGTCTTCTTTGTTCTCATGGTGTGTGTCCATGGCATCACACCAGCACTGCTGTTCTGTATTTAGACAGGATTGTGCAGGAACCTCAATAACCTCTGCTCTGGGCTGGAGCCAACAGCACCAGAGGGATAGTGGTGGGAAACAAGGGCTAAAACCCCACATGGTGGTCTTGAAGGTCTTTTCCAACCTAAGTGATTCTGTGATAAGGTGGAGGGCAGAAAGGGGGTGAAGTCAACTTGTCTCCTTCCCCATGGGGAGACTGGGGGACTCCCCTGCAGCTGTAGCAGTTGGGTTATGGAGAGTGGGGATTTTCTCTTAAATGGGATCCATTAAATGGGAAGGGAGAAGAATCGGCAGGCTGTGAAGCAACAGGGCTTAGGAAGATCTGGAGTAGCTTAGGCACTGCCTCTGGGAGCAAAGCATGTCAAGGTCAAGGCAGAAGTTTATCCCAAACCAGACCTGGATAAGGTTATTCTGTGATCTCTATTCTGGAGTTTAAAGGAAGGACATTTAAATCTTAGAGCTTGAAAGCTGACTGTGACCAGGTGCTACGTTGTGTGCAACCAAGGGGGCTGACATGGGACAAAGGGAAGGTTTGCCACATGCACAGGGGCTGCTACTCAGTTCGGTCTCCCAGAAGCACTGTTGTGATGGGTATATCTGACTGTGGGCACGCAGCAGCATTGCACTTTGTGGGGTGCGTCTGAGTGCTTTGTGACAAAGCCTCCAAGTCATTCAGAAAGCTCAAAAGATATAGAGGAAGCCTCAGGGGAGGTCAGTGCAGGCAGAGTGTAGGAGTCTCCTTCCTTCCCATCTTGTCCTTAGGATGATGCAGCATGCTCTCAGAAATGGAAAGACTTGCTTCCTATCCTGCT